CATGCCATATCATGCTCTGAATCTCGTTGGTGTTAGCTTTGCTAGCCTGTAATTTCAAGTTTAATGCAACTTTTTGTCCGTGTTTGTATTTTTTTCTCTGTTTAACATTTTGAAAAATAAACCTAGAAGAAACATTCTTCATTATTATTTCAGCTGAACCCAATGTCCTTCAGTTGTTTTGTATAATATATATAACTGGTTTAAGGCCTTTTCAATTATTTATTTTACCGTTGAACTGATTTATCACTTTGCACAAAAATTGATGTTTTGTTTAGTGGTAACGGAAAAAAATTTGTAAAAACTAACTTATAATTTGCAACAATACTCTATGAGAAGTATTAAGAACTTAATGTGTCTCTACAACTAAGTAAATTGTTTGTTTTTTGTGTGTTTGCAATTCGTATAAGCCATCTACTAGTTATTTCACTGTAAGTTAATTAAAATAAAGATGGCCGCCATCACCATGGCAACAGGGAAATTTTTAAAATCACTTTTAGCTTACGACATTGAGTTAGAACAATATGCTGAATATTGTTTGCGATAGGTTTGGAAGTGAGCATTTTTTCTACTCCTCATCCGCCCCATGCCCTCAAATATGTGCACGACCCCCCTCCCTCTACCGAACGTTTATGGGGAGACATAGGCAGCAGCACCACCATATATATATATATATATATATATATATATATATATATATATATATATATATATATATATATATATATATATATATATATATATATATATATTTATAAGCAATAATTATACGTTTACCCTTGTACGTTTACCCTTGTACGTTTGCTCTTATACGTTTACTGTTATACGTTTACTCTTGTACGTTTACTCGTATACGTTTACTCTTATATGTTTACTCTTATACGTTTGCGTTTAATGATTCATTAGCTCCATACATCGCCAATCGGCATTTGGCAGAGATATTCGAAAAGTTAACAGCTTTCCCAGGTCGCAATATGCCGTCAACTACAAGATAAATTTAGACTGAAGTTAGTGCTACGTTAGAGTTTAGTAATATATTTTTTGTGTGTGTGCACTTGTGCGTGTGTGTGTAACTATAACAAGACTTTCAATGCCTCCCGAGAAAGAGTTGTAAAATATATTTAGCCATGATTGTAGAGCCTGGACAGTTACGTATATGCCTGTAAAACCGAGAGCTGTAGTTAGCCTATAACGTGACCTGTGTGATGTCGCGTACACGCTGTGTCAATAGCAGTGTGTTCAGTTTCACGTTCAGTATCGAACCCAGCGGCTGTTGACCTGGGTCAAGTATCAGACCCGTGTAGGTCACTGACCTCATACCTGGGTCCAGTATCAGGCCTGGGTGGGTCAATGACCCCTGACACCTGGCACTGTATCAGCACCAACCTAATCTTGAGCTGAACAAAACTTCTGCAGCTATCTAAAACACGATTCACGCGCCCAGTCGTCACGCATGATTGCAATATGTATCCACACTATCCACACTTCAGGCTGTGGATACCATCCAAATGCTGGGACTTACCCACTCATGCGTGGAGAACTTCGTGACAGTTGATGCCAATCAAAGTTTCTGTCACTACCTGCACCCCGTGCACATACCGGCACCGACGTGTTTACCTGGTGATCACGTGTCTCCCGACATTCAGGACATTGGCACCTTAAGATAGTCGGACTTGAATCACGATATTTGAGGCCAGATCTCACACAACTAGATAGCACAACACGACATCTTTTAGGCTAAACATTGGTCTTGAAATTAACCAGTTACGAGGAGTTGAGGAGGTATCGTTCGACAGTTTAGTTTAGTTAAAAGTCGAGTTTTCTGATCTACCTCATTTAAGATTAATCTGTTTGGCTGATACAGAGTAATTGGTAATACCACTCGGCCAGTAATTGGCCAGTAGTTGGCCAAAAGTTGGTTAGTAGTTGGCCAGTAGTTGGTCAGTAGTTGGTCAGTAGTTGGCCAGTAGTTGGTCAGTAGTTGGTCAGTAGTTGGTCAGTAGTTGGTAAGTAGTTGGCTAGTAGTTGGTCAGTAATTGGCCAGTAGTTGGCTAGTAGTTGGTCAGTAGTTGGTCAGTAGTTGGTCAGTAGTTGGCTAGTAGTTGGTCAGTAGTTGGTCAGTAGTAGGTCAGTAGTTGGTCAGTAGTTGGCCAGTAGTTGGCTAGTAGTTGGTAAGTAGTTGGTCAGTAGTTGGTCAGTAGTTGGTCAGTAGTTGGCTAGTAGTTGGTCAGTAGTTGGTCAGTAGTTGGTCAGTAGTTGGCTAGTAGTTGGTCAGTAGTTGGTCAGTAGTTGGTCAGTAGTTGGTCAGTAGTTGGCCAGTAGTTGGCTAGTAGTTGGTAAGTAGTTGGTCAGTAGTTGGTCAGTAGTTGGTCAGTAGTTGGCTAGTAGTTGGTCAGTAGTTGGTCAGTAGTTGGTCAGTAGTTGGTCAGTGGTTGGTCAGTGGTTGGCCAGTAGTTGGCTAGTAGTTGGTAAGTAGTTGGCCAGTAGTTGGTAAGTAGTTGGTCAGTAGTTGGTCAGTAGTTGGTCGGTAGTTGGCCAGTAATTGGCAAGTAGTTGGCCAGTAGTTGGTAAGTAGTTGGCTAGTAGTTGGCCAGTAGTTGGTCAGTAGTTGGCCAGTAGTTGGTCAGTAGTTGGTCAGTAGTTGGTCATACCACTCCGCCAGTAGTTGGCCAGTAGTTGGCCAAAAGTTGGTTAGTAGTTGGCCAGTAGTTGGCCAGTAGTTGGTCAGAAGTTGGTCAGTAGTTGGTTATACCACTCCGCCAGTAGTTGGCCTGGTCACAGAATGTTCTAGAAGCGTTGGTAACTAATTATTTAAGGTAGTACCGTCGTTTATTTATTTTCTGAAGAAATGTCAGTGTTAAATTGTTACCTAACGATGTAACGTCGCAAAGGACTTTCTAAAGTTGTAGAATAGTTAGGACCAAGTTTTCGTTCGTACATAAACATTGCCATTAAATTCCTCACTGAAAGTTCATTTACACTCCGTGAGTTGTGTGTGTGAGTTGTGTGTGTTGTGTGTGTGTGAGTTGTGTGAGTGATTTGTGTGTCTAATGAAAGCCGCCTCTCTAATTAATATTGCCATCACGTGACTAGGTACACGTGTACTGTAAGCAAACAGAATGATCTTGGTTAACCACCTGACACCCCCCCCCTTTATCACGGCCTCCCTTTCATCTGACATGGGATACTATACAAAAACCTGACCTTGACCTTCACTTCTTCAAGGCTAAAGTTTTTATACACTTGTCTGATTGGTCCGTTTTGTTTGGTTATTTTAGCACACAGGGGTAGGTAACCTCACCATTTCTCACTTTATAACTGGTATTTGCACCCACCGAGTTTTTATGCAGGTAAGTAAAAGAAAATTTCAGATAAAATAGTAATGGATTTCAATTTAATACTGTGTTTACATTAAGCCAGTACAATCATCAAGTTATTACATTATAGAGAAAAATTTTCTGTAATATAAAAAAAAAAATAACAAACAGCATTGCGATAAGTAATGTAGAGCTTACATTTTGTCAATCGCAATTTTAGTTGAAAATGTAATCAATTATATTCTCAAGTGTTGTTTTTGGATAGTTATAAAGTACTGAATAAATATGTAAAAACGATTTAATAAAAAGATTTTATGTAATAATGCACTAAAAGGAGAAAATAAATGATTTTCTTTAAGGGGGTAGGCTCAGGTAAAAAATATATTTTTTTTATACTCGTTAGAAAACATTTTTTCTCTACAGCTTTTTAAAAGTACATCCGCATATGTGTTTCCATTTTAAAAATTTGGTTGGAAAATCTTGGTAATTTTGACAACGGGGGCCATTTTGAAAAAAATAACCTCATCGTAGGATTTCCAACATTCATAAAGTATTGTATTTTAAGCTCAATAAATAATACATTCATAACCTTATACCATATTTTGGGGTACTCGGCTAAACGATTTTCAGATCTACAAACAAATCTAATAAGAATTTTCAAATAGTGGGTCGGGTCAAAACATTCATTTTTGGGAAATTTCAGGGCATTAAATTTAGTGTTTTCGAAAATTCATAATATCATCAGCCTGAGAAATGCACTTTTCTTTAAAGATATTTGAATTAGTAGAATATTATGATATATTTAAAAATGTCATTTATTTCTCCTTTTAGTGTATTATTACATTAAAAGTTTGTTATTAAAACGTCTTCTGTGGAAAAAAAATATCAATACCTAAAATTTTTAATACAATAGAGTTGCATAAATAGAAACTATTGCGCACCAAATGAACATGCGTTTAATAGTGCTGAATAGTAGAATAAGACTACCTACTAATTTCAGAAAATTTTAATGAATTCATAAAAAATTGATTAGTCATTCAATTTAGTCAAATATTTAATGTCATATTGCATTGTCAGTGGGTCTTCGCCCAAGTGCCGAATTTCAGAGAAATTGATCGGTTAGAAAAGCCCGTTTTGATCTAGGATTAAGACAGACGACAGACAGACAGACAGACAGAGTGAACAAGTTAAATAAAAGCTTGTAATAAAACAAGTCTCGGAAGATTTGTTTTGAAACAATATAGTCCTTTATCATAGATTGTCAGATTATTATTTGAATCGAAATTATGTGGATTTATGTTTTTTTTAGTTATTAGGGTCTGGGGCGTGTTTTTGAGAAAGATATTTTAAGTTGAATTATATTTTACATTATTATTTATGAATCCAGTATTTTTACTTTTTTTTTTCTCTAATGATGCAATTAAAAATAACACTTGACATTGAATAGTATGAAAATAATTTTAAAAATCCATTAATTGTTTTCTTTTAGAATTGCGGTGACTATGTAAATATACAAAGACCAACGCGACGCAAATCACATGCCATTAGTCCCAATCAGAAGACACAAATCATTTCACAACTGACACAAAGATTGTGTCTGCTTGTATCAAACTTTGGTGTGTTTTAATGCCAAACTTTACCAATCATTGAATGCAGTATCTGCTCACTGTTTGAATCTCCACAGCCATGGGCCCTCACAAAACAGGGTGTCTGGTACCAACATGTATACACGCATGCCACACCCGTGTATCTGCCGCCGCCCACCCCCTACCCCGGGACGCCTCCTGTCTGCGGAAGTTGCTCCACGGCTGTCTGTGCCCGCCCTCAGGGAAAGTGGGCGCGGTCCTGATGGTGGTCCTCATGTTCTCCCTGGGGTGGGCGGCCCTCTGGTCCGTGACGAAGAAGGAAGTCCTCCCCAACGGCAGCCTCTATCCCGTGTTTATCCTGTTCGTCTGCTCCTGGTGTGGAGGGTACCTGGTCAAGCAGACTCCGTTCCCGCCCCTCATTGGGATGCTGATCGTGGGGTTTGTTCTTAAGAACGTGACCTACATAGACATAGCAGAGAAGATCAACCCACAGTGGTCATCAAATGCCAGGTAAGTCAAGTTTAAAGTTGTTGTATCATCTATATCATTACATGTGACGTTTGCACTTCCTAATTATATACTCTAAATCATAACATGTGACATTTACAATATCATTTCGTATCTTCTAAATCATAACATGTGACGTTTGCACTACCTAATTATATACTCTGTATCATAAAGTGACATTTAAAATATCCTTTTAGGTCAATGGCCTTGACCGTCATACTGACCAGGGCGGGACTCAGCCTTGACCCAGGGGCTCTCAGACGACTGTCCTTCGTGGTACTGAGGCTGGCCTTTCTGCCCAGCGTGTGTGAGCTGGTTGTGGACAGCGTGATGGCCAGGGTGCTGCTGGGTTTACCGTGGACATGGGCCTTCATGCTGGGGTAAACAGGACATTGCCCTCACCTCCCGTCTGAACGTGTTGATATCAGAGCTAGATTTGTATTTGTAAACACATCATGTCCAGTTCAGTGTTTAATCTATCATTCTTTTTTAACCCAGGTTTGTGATGTCAGTGGTGTCCCCTGCCGTGGTCGTGCCGTCCATGTTGTCACTCTCACAACGAGGCTACGGCCTTGATAAGGGGATCCCGACCTTGATCTTGGCAGCCTGTTCGCTGGACTCAGTGCTGGCTATCACAGGATTCGGTGTCCTGCTGGGTGTTAACTTCTCAAAAGGTAACTCTTCTACTGGGTGTTAATTTCTCAAAAGGTAACTCATCTACTACTTCTTGCTTTCTCAAAAGGTAGCTCCTCTACTGCGTGTTGCTTTCTCAAAAGGTAACTTATCTGCTGGGTGTTAATTTCTCATAAGGTAACTCATCTACTGGGTGTTAATTTTTCAAAAGGTAACTCCTCTACTGCGTGTTGCTTTCTCAAAAGGTAACTCTTCTACTGGGTGTTAATTTCTCAAAAGGTAACTCGTCTACTACTTCTTGCTTTCTTAAAAGGTAGCTCCTCTACTGCGTGTTGCTTTCTCAAAAGTTAACTTATCTACTGGGTGTTAATTTCTCAAAAGGTAACTCGTCTACTACTTCTTGCTTTCTTAAAAGGTAGCTCCTCTACTGCGTGTTGCTTTCTCAAAAGGTAACATTTCTACTGGGTGTTGCTTTCTTAAAAGGTAACTTATCTACTGGATGTTAATTTCTCAAAAGGTAACTCTTCTACTTTCTTACAAAGTAACACCAGATGCTTACATTTATGTATCACCATTCACAGTAGTCTAACGTCTTGACACCATAAGTATACCATCTAGACTACGTATCTAGGTCTATCTCTTCACAAAAATAGCCCATGTGTATGATTCTGCTTGCTTCACCGTACAATTTCGGTAGATAAAGACGTTTGTTTATAATACCATTTTTAGACCTGTCACATGATTTTTGTAACATCGTGTTTAGACCTGACAGTTGCTTTACAAAACGAGTTTATTCAAGACAGTGTTTGGTGTATTCTGTTTTGTAGGTGATGTCGTGTGGAACTCATTGAAAGGACCAGTCGAGGTGATCGCCGGCGTGTGTTACGGGTGTGTAGTTGGTGTTTTGCTGTGGTACATCCCACAGAGATCTAGTGTAAGCTTAATAAGTTTGTGGTGTGTTGGCTAGTGGTGTGTGGGCTGGTGGTGTGTGTTGGTAGTGTGTGGTTGGTGGTGTGGGTAAATGATGTGTTGTTGCTGGATGTTGGTGGTGCATGGTCGATGTTGTGTTTTGGTACATATCACAGAGATGTGTGTTAAGTTTAAAACTATCACTGACCATTCAAATGGTATAGAACCGAAACTTTGGGCCCAGGTTGTATATAGCCCTGAGCTCATTGACGTTAAACCATCGGTTTTTATGTGACATTTAGACATTTCTAAACAACAGTTTTTGTGCTGCTGTAAAGGATGATAGACTCAATAATCTTTGCAACTGTTGATTAATTACACGCTAATTAAAGCATAATTAAACCCCACAGCAAAGTCGTGTCTTCTTCCGGTCTGCCATGCTAGTGAGTGCTGGACTGGTGGCCATCTTTGGAAGCAAAGCAATTGATTGGTCGGGAAGTGGACCAATCGGATGTCTCGCTGTGGCCTTTGTGGCGGGATATAGATGGCGGCAGGAGTACCAGGGGTTAAAGGTAACTTGAGGGCATTAACCCTACACTTGACATTTTTTTAATTTCAACTAGATGCTAGGGGTTAAAGGTAACTTGAGGGCATTAACCCTACACTTGAAAACTTTAAGTTTTAACCAGAAGATAGTATTTTTTAAAAAAAAAACATGAGTAAGACTTGTTTATATTGGAACGGCGTGGTCGGATTGTAATGCTCACGACTGGTAAACAGAAAGTATAAAATTTGGATCCGGGTTCGACTCTCTTGTCCACCCAGCTCTAGTGGGTACCAGTTTTAAGTTAGTTGGACATAGCACTGACCACTCTACCCATCTGTACGGTCATGTATGGCGTGGTCGTTGGAACAGATGAACTCTGACCCGTGTGCCAAGGGCACCAAACGGTAAAAGATGGTGATATCGGTTCGTGCTAGTTTTTATGTCTTTCAATGTGTTTAAAACTGTTCTGATAGAATCCAGTGGAAGACGTCATGTCCGCTCTCTGGATGGTTTTCATGCCGTTGTTGTTCAGCTTCATCGGCGCTGCTGTCAGCGTGCAGAACCTTAAGTCTGTCACGGTAGGTGAGTACTGCGTCTGTCACTGTCATACATCAGTCTGTCAATGTGACACATCCATCTGTCACTGTGCTAAATCCATCTGTCACTGTGCTACATCCATCTGTCAATGTGACACGTCCATTTGTCACTGTGCTACATCCATCTGTCACGCTTCAGTCAACCACTGTACTACTTTGACCAGACACGAATCGAACCCTAACCATCCAAATCTTGCCTAGGCTACGGGGTGGCCATCTTATTTGCTGGACTGGCCACTCGTCTTCTGGTCGCCGGCCTGTCCGTACTAAGGACAGATCTAAACATGAGGGAGCGGATCTTCGTGCCCTTGGCCTGGATCCCCAAGGCCACTGTACAGGCAGCCATTGGGGGCGTGGCCTACGACACAGCCGTGGAGCAAGGGAAGCCAGACCTGGTAATCCTCGGCAAGCAGGTGTGTGAGCTTTACGGTAGATCATACTTGCATAGACTTAATCTCCTGATTAGAGAGAGATATAGGATTATCAGATTAACAGGTAAAGACATATTTCCCCTAACAGGTGCTGACCATTGCTGTGCTAGCTATCCTCATCGCTGCCCCCATTGGCTCTCTGCTAATCGCTTTAATGGGGCCGCGTCTTCTGCGCAAGAAAGAAATGCTTGACCAGAGCGATGACCAGACTACCTCGGGCGGAAGTGATACATCCAAAGTACAAGTGGACCAAGTGAGCCTTGATGTTACTTTAAGCATGGACAATTTGGCAGCAATGGATGATAAACACGAACCATCGGAGCTTGTCGTACCATCGGAGTTTGTGAAAGTACCATCGGAGCTTGCCGTACCATCGGAATTTGTGAAAGTACCATCGGAGTTTGTGAAAGTATCATCAGAGCGAGCTGCTTTACCATCGGCTCCGGACATTGTTTCCGTACCATCGGCTCCGGAAATTGTTGCCGTATCATCGGCTCCGGACATTGTTGCCGTACCATCGGCTCCGGAAATTGTTGCCGTACCATCGGCTCCGGAAATTGTTGCCGTACCATCGGCTCCGGATATTGTTGCCGTACCATCGGCTCCGGAAATTGTTGACGTACCGTGGGAGCTGGAACTTCTGCACGAATCGCCACAGCTGCAACTTGTGGGCGGGACCACAGGTCATCTTGACCTGACCGAACGTAAACCAGGATCGTCTGCAACGCCAGGGGAGACGCTTCTATGGCGACTTTAGTGTCTAGACATCAATATGGCGACTTCAGTGTCTAGACATCAATATGGCGATTTAGTGTCTAGACATCAATATGGCGAGTTTAGTGTCAAGACATCAATATGGCGACTTTAGTGTCTAGACATCACGACTTTATTGCCTAGACATCCATATGGCGAATTTAGTGTCTAGACATCAATATGGCGAATTTAGTGTCTAGACATCCATATGGCGAATTTAGTGTCTAGACATCACGACTTTATTGCCTAGACATCCATATGGCGAATTTAGTGCCTAGACATCCATATGGCGAATTTAGTGTCTAGACATCAATATGGCGACTTTAGTGTCAAGACATCAATATGGCGACTTTAGTGTCTAGACATCACGACTTTATTGCCTAGACATCCATATGGCGAATTTAGTGTCTAGACATCAATATGGCGAGTTTAGTGTCTAGACATCAATATGGCGACTTTAGTGTCTAGACATCAATATGGCGACTTTAGTGTCAAGACATCAATATGGCGACTTTAGTGTCTAGACATCACGACTTTATTGCCTAGACATCCATATGGCGAATTTAGTGTCTAGACATCAATATGGCGAGTTTAGTGTCTAGACATCAATATGGCGAGTTTAGTGTCTAGACATCAATATGGCGACTTTAGTGTCTAGACATCAATATGGCGACTTTAGTGTCTAGACATCAATATGGCGACTTTAGTGTCTAGACATCAATATGGCGTCTTTAGTGTCTAGACATCAATATGGCGAGTTTAGTGTCAAGACATCAATATGGCGACTTTAGTGTCTAGACATCAATATGGCGACTTTAGTGTCAAGACATCAATATGGCGACTTTAGTGTCTAGACATCAATATGGCGACTTTAGTGTCTAGACATCACGACTTTATTGCCTAGACATCCATATGGCGAATTTAGTGTCTAGACATCAATATGGCGAATTTAGTGTCTAGACATCCATATGGCGAATTTAGTGTCTAGACATCAATATGGCGACTTTAGTGTCTAGACATCACGACTTTATTGCCTAGACATCCATATGGCGAATTTAGTGTCTAGACATCAATATGGCGACTTTAGTGTCAAGACATCAATATGGCGACTTTAGTGTCTAGACATCACGACTTTATTGCCTAGACATCCATATGGCGAATTTAGTGTCTAGACATCAATATGGCGACTTTAGTGTCAAGACATCAATATGGCGACTTTAGTGTCTAGACATCACGACTTTATTGCCTAGACATCCATATGGCGAATTTAGTGTCTAGACATCAATATGGCGAGTTTAGTGTCTAGACATCAATATGGCGACTTTAGTGTCAAGACATCAATATGGCGACTTTAGTGTCTAGACATCAATATGGCGACTTTAGTGTCTAGACATCAATATGGCGACTTTAGTGTCTAGACATCACGACTTTATTGCCTAGACATCCATATGGCGAATTTAGTGTCTAGACATCAATATGGCGACTTTAGTGTCAAGACATCAATATGGCGAGTTTAGACATCTCCAAACAACAGCATGTGACGACAACAAATAAGTCAAAGTCAAATGACGTGATGGCTCAGACAAGCGATACACGACCTGATACAGCTAAACTACATCATGAAAACGAAATACATCAATATGTTAACTAAATAACATCATGAACAAAAACATCATTATGTTAAATAAACAATATTATGAACAGAACACATCATTATGTAAAATAAACAACATCATGAACAAATCATTATGTAAAATAAACAATATCATTATGTTAGCAAAACAACATTATGAAAGTAACACATCATTATAGTTTTTTTCATCTTTCGCTGAACAAATCATGAAAGAAAGCTGCAACTTTTAATTCACAACTATTGTTTTGTAAATAACTGGGATGTAACAACAATATGTTTAAATAAAGCGGGAGTGATCTCCCATAACTTACTCCGATGAACTAGTGGTTGGGATGGCACTTCCAGTGTAATCGAGTTAAAGAAACCGTAGGGGAAGTTCGTGATAAAAGTCGAAAAAATGTAATAAATTTTGCTACTTTATGAAAAAACTAGCCGTCCCGGCCAGGACCTGCATTGGCCACTATGAAAAAAACCTATCCTGTAAAGGACCAAAACTTGTGTGTTTATTAATAAGCATATACCCAGCATTGCCCGGGTTTAGGATATATATTACTTTTCGAATCAACCCTAACCACAACAAACCAAAACCAAAGCACAAAACCAAACACAAACATAAACATAAACGCTAACACAAAAACAAACACAAACGTAAACACAAACGCAAACAAAAACACAAACACAAAAATAAACACAAACACAAACGTAAACACAAACACATAAACGGACGCAAAAAAAATCGCAAACACAAATATAAACGCAAACTTAATCGCAAACACAAACGTAAAAACCAAAGCACAAACGCAAACACTAACGCAAACAGAAACACAAACACAAACGCAAACACAAATGCAAACTTAAACGCAAACAATAACGCAGAACATAAAAACAAACTTAAATGCTAACATAAAAGCATAGTGCATACAGTATAGCCCGGGGCGCCAAATCACACCCTGCTGGGGCGCCGGCGGAACCACCTGATTCAACGTAATAAATGATAATACACTATAATACCCAATCTTATTAATAGTCTATCGCGAACGTAGACGCCATAGCGCTCATGGTAAGGTCCGGGGCGCCAAATAGCATCATGTCGGGACGACGGAGGACGCCGGGGTTTGATTTAGTTAATGACTATAGTAACCTTTCTTATCCAGAGTCTATCGCACTGTTTAAAACGAAATTATGCACAATAGCGTTCACAGGGTAGCCTAGTGCGCCAAATAAACAATGAAACGTGTTTTACAAAACCATTCACATTATATTTTTATCATTCATTTAGATAATAAACGCTTTATCAATATTACACTATGACGATCAAGACCAGTTTTTTACTACACTTCTGCCAAGCGTGAGTCCTCTGTCTGCTGTCACATACATACAGAGCCACAGAAACCGTTTGAGCTTTATATATTAGATAAAAATTATCAAATTCCTGAGATTTGCGAATAATTGGAAATATAGTACCACTTCTGGTTATCGCCAATCTACCAGAAATTGTTCGAAAATTGCATATACAATCTAATACATACTTGTGAAAAATTTAATCCATCTAACTGAAACGGTATTCACAATATCGGTATTTTAGAAACCGGAAATTGAACAAAATCCCATTTCCGGATATCAGAAATCGGACTAAAATGTTAAAAACCTGAGTTCAAGATTTTATACTCACATATAAAAATGTTTTCATTTAACTGAAACAGTACACACACATACTCCCACACACACATCGAAAGAGAGAGACGGGGGAGGGAGAGAGAGAGAGAGAGAAAGAGAGAGAGAGATGAAAAACTAGATTTTTCCGACACATGGATGGGTAGAAGGTCAAGATTTGACTAAAAACGGATTTCGCTATTTTACACGATTTGAAAATCATCCTTTATAATCCGTACACGAGAAAGTAAAATAAAATAATGAACATATGTGTATAAATATATATAGAACCCGACTTTAAAGCAACATTTTGATTTACAAATATCATCCCAACATTTTAATCTGAATTTCGTCTATAAGACAAGCTTTGAATGACTGTGACGTATTGATTATTCGATTTCCGTAGTCCCCACTTTTGTGCTTTTAAGAACTGTCCAAACATTTCAAGAATCAATCATCTACGACAGGGAATTTCCGATAAGTGTAGCTTTGCACCAAAAAAAGTTTTCCTTAATGCGGCTTCTTCCGTGTGTGATTAAAAACATCAACAAATGAAAAATTATTCTGTGTAAGACTGTAAAACTGTTTTAGTAATTATCAGGGCGTGGCTGAGTAGTAAATTAACTTAAATCATTAATTAACATATTAATTAACATAAATTAGCGACTCGTATACAGTCATAGAATAGTGGATTAAATGATTAAAGGCTAGATCTGTAAGTAGAAAAATGAATGGGTAGCTTTCTTAGGTTTTGTTGCTAGTAATGCTCAAAGATAGCTTAGACCTATCTTGCTCTTTCACTATTCTAGCCATAAGCTCAAGCCTAAATACTGACGGTGGTAATGCTGAGAGGAACAGTGTGCTGAGAATACATGTAACACCACTGATGTGAAGCGACAAGTGCATGTGAGTCCTGTGGTCTGTGAAATATACGTGATTCTCTTGCCGTCTTGTGAACTACTAGCCATCTAGTGAACTACTAGCCATTAGTGAACTACTAGCCATCTTGTGAACTACTGGCCATTAGTGAACTACTAGCCATCTAGTGAACTACTGGCCATTAGTGAACTACTGGCCATCTTGTGAAATACTGGCCATCTAGGGAACCACGGGCCGTCTAGTGAACTACTGGCCGTCTAAGGAATAGTTAATGCCCAATAGCACCATCATGACATCATGGGCAAGATGAATTAGAGTTCAGCTGTTTCAATAGAAAATAGGTGCACTTTATGCTCACTAGCCGTCTAGTAAATAGTTACACAATCCTAATCACTATATTAACTCAAAACAAAAAATAGAATCTAAATATAAATCACCTTTGACCAAAAATACGCACGTTGTTTATTTCGTCGCTCGGTGATGGTATAAGCACATCCTCCGATTGTAGCGAGCTCCAGAAAACTTTATCTCGACTAGAACTAGTTCTGTTCAGTTTTCCCCAAATGATTTTGTTACGAGTGAAGCGAGCTCCAGAAAAAATTACCTCGACTAGAACTAGTTCTGTTCAGTTTTCCCCAAATGATTTTGTTACGAGTGAAGCGAGCTCCAGAAAAAATTACCTCGACTAGAACTAGTTCTGTTCAGTTTTCCCCAAATGATTTTGTTACGAGTGAAGCGAGCTCCAGAAAACTTTAACTCGACTAGAACTAGTTCTGTTCAGTTTTCCCCAAATGATTTTGTTACGACTGTGGCGAGCCCCAGAAAACTTTACCTCGGCTAGAAAGATTCCTGCTTCAGCTTTCCCCAAATGATTTCTTAGGTTGGAACACCAGAGGCGCAGAGAATCACGATGCCCCCCTGGGGACCCTGGAAAAACTACACGGCTGAGACCTCCAACATGCCCCCCTGGGGACCCTGGAGAAACTACACGGCCGAGGCCTCCATGCTTGCCTCCCAGATAGACAGCAATGAGCTGCCACGGTACGTTATCGTCGCTCAAACGGTGATCGCTGTCAGCTCGAGTCTCGTCAACTTTATCTTTCTGGTGAGTCGATAATGGTGTCACTTTCATCTTTCTGGTGAGTTGATAATGGTGTCACTTTCGTCTTTCTGGTGAATTGATAATGGTGTCACTTTCTGGTGAGTTGATAATGGTGTCACTTTCATATTTCTGGTGAGTTGATAATGGTGTCACTTTCATCTTTCTGGTGAGTTGATAATGGTGTCACTTTCATCTTTCTGGTGAGTTGATAATGGTGTCACTTTCATCTTTCTGGTGAGTTGATAATGGTGTCACTTTCATCTTTCTGGTGAGTTGATAATAATAATGGTGTCACTTTCATCTTTCTGGTGAGTTGATAATGGTGTCACTTTCATCTTTCTGGTGAGTTGATAATGGTGTCACTTTCATCTTTCTGGTGAGTTGATAATAATAATGGTGTCTCTTTCATCTTTCTGGTGAGTTGATAATGGTGTCACTTTCATCTTTCTGGTGAGTTGATAATGGTGTCACTTTCATCTTTCTGGTGAGTTGATAATGGTGTCACTTTCATCTTTCTGGTGAGTTGATAATAATAATGGTGTCACTTTCATCTTTCTGGTGAGTTGATAATGGTGTCACTTTCATCTTTCTGGTGAGTTGATAATAATAATGGTGTCACTTTCATCTTTCTGGTGAGTTGATAATGGTGTCACTTTCATCTTTCTGGTGAGTTGATAATGGTGTCACTTTCATCTTTCTGGTGAGTTGATAATGGTGTCACTTTCATCTTTCTGGTGAGTTGATAATAATAATGGTGTCACTTTCATCTTTCTGGTGAGTTGATAATGGTGTCACTTTCATCTTTCTGGTGAGTTGATAATAATAATGGTGTCACTTTCATCTTTCTGGTGAGTTGATAATGGTGTCACTTTCATCTTTCTGGTGAGTTGATAATAATAATGGTGTCACTTTCATCTTTCTGGTGAGTTGATAATGGTGTCACTTTCATCTTTCTGGTGAGTTGATAATGGTGTCACTTTTATCTTTCTGGTGAGTTGATAATGGTGTCACTTTCATCTTTCTGGTGAGTTGATAATGGTGTCACTTTCATCTTTCTGGTGAGTTGATAATGGTGTCACTTTCATCTTTCTGGTGAGTTGATAATGGTGTCACTTTCATCTTTCTGGTGAGTTGATAATAATAATGGTGTCACTTTCATCTTTCTGGTGAGTTGATAATGGTGTCACTTTCATCTTTCTGGTGAGTTGATAATAATAATGGTGTCACTTTCATCTTTCTGGTGAGTTGATAATGGTGTCACTTTCATCTTTCTGGTGAGTTGATAATGGTGTCACTTTCATCTTTCTGGTGAGTTGATAATGGTGTCACTTTCATCTTTCTGGTGAGTTGATAATAATAATGGTGTCACTTTCATCTTTCTGGTGAGTTGATAATGGTGTCACTTTCATCTTTCTGGTGAGTTGATAATAATAATGGTGTCACTTTCATCTTTCTGGTGAGTTGATAATGGTGTCACTTTCATCTTTCTGGTGAGTTGATAATAATAATGGTGTCACTTTCATCTTTCTGGTGAGTTGATAATGGTGTCACTTTCATCTTTCTGGTGAGTTGATAATGGTGTCACTTTCATCTTTCTGGTGAGTTGATAATAATAATGGTGTCACTTTCATCTTTCTGGTGAGTTGATAATGGTGTCACTTTCATCTTTCTGGTGAGTTGATAATGGTGTCACTTTCATCTTTCTGGTGAGTTGATAATGGTGTCACTTTCATCTTTCTGGTGAGTTGATAATAATAATGGTGTCACTTTCATCTTTCTGGTGAGTTGATAATGGTGTCACTTTCATCTTTCTGGTGAGTTGATAATAATAATGGTGTCACTTTCATCTTTCTGGTGAGTTGATAATGGTGTCACTTTCATCTTTCTGGTGAGTTGATAATGGTGTCACTTTCATCTTTCTGGTGAGTTGATAATGGTGTCACTTTCATCTTTCTGGTGAGTTGATAATAATAATGGTGTCACTTTCATCTTTCTGGTGAGTTGATAATGGTGTCACTTTCATCTTTCTGGTGAGTTGATAATAATAATGGTGTCACTTTCATCTTTCTGGTGAGTTGATAATGGTGTCACTTTCATCTTTCTGGTGAGTTGATAATAATAATGGTGTCACTTTCATCTTTCTGGTGAGTTGATAATGGTGTCACTTTCATCTTTCTGGTGAGTTGATAATAATAATGGTGTCACTTTCATCTTTCTGGTGAGTTGATAATGGTGTCACTTTCATCTTTCTGGTGAGTTGATAATGGTGTCACTTTCATCTTTCTGGTGAGTTGATAATGGTGTCACTTTCATCTTTCTGGTGAGTTGATAATAATAATGGTGTCACTTTCATCTTTCTGGTGAGTTGATAATGGTGTCACTTTCATCTTTCTGGTGAGTTGATAATGGTGTCACTTTCATCTTTCTGGTGAGTTGATAATGGTGTCACTTTCATCTTTCTGGTGAGTTGATAATAATAATGGTGTCACTTTCATCTTTCTGGTGAGTTGATAATGGTGTCACTTTCATCTTTCTGGTGAGTTGATAATGGTGTCACTTTCATCTTTCTGGTGAGTTGATAATGGTGTCACTTTCATCTTTCTGGTGAGTTGATAATGGTGTCACTTTCATCTTTCTGGTGAGTTGATAATAATAATGGTGTCACTTTCATCTTTCTGGTGAGTTGATAATGGTGTCACTTTCATCTTTCTGGTGAGTTGATAATAATAATGGTGTCACTTTCATCTTTCTGGTGAGTTGATAATGGTGTCACTTTCATCTTTCTGGTGAGTTGATAATAATAATGGTGTCACTTTCATCTTTCTGGTGAGTTGATAATGGTGTCACTTTCATCTTTCTGGTGAGTTGATAATGGTGTCACTTTCATCTTTCTGGTGAGTTGATAATGGTGTCACTTTCATCTTTCTGGTGAGTTGATAATAATAATGGTGTCACTTTCATCTTTCTGGTGAGTTGATAATGGTGTCACTTTCATCTTTCTGGTGAGTTGATAATAATAATGGTGTCACTTTCATCTTTCTGGTGAGTTGATAATGGTGTCACTTTCATCTTTCTGGTGAGTTGATAATGGTGTCACTTTCATCTTTCTGGTGAGTTGATAATGGTGTCACTTTCATCTTTCTGGTGAGTTGATAATGGTGTCACTTTCATCTTTCTGGTGAGTTGATAATGGTGTCACTTTCATCTTTCTGGTGAGTTGATAATAATAATGGTGTCACTTTCATCTTTCTGGTGAGTTGATAATGGTGTCACTTTCATCTTTCTGGTGAGTTGATAATAATAATGGTGTCACTTTCATCTTTCTGGTGAGTTGATAATGGTGTCACTTTCATCTTTCTGGTGAGTTGATAATGGTGTCACTTTCATCTTTCTGGTGAGTTGATAATGGTGTCACTTTCATCTTTCTGGTGAGTTGATAATAATAATGGTGTCACTTTCATCTTTCTGGTGAGTTGATAATGGTGTCACTTTCATCTTTCTGGTGAGTTGATAATAATAATGGTGTCACTTTCATCTTTCTGGTGAGTTGATAATAATAATGGTGTCACTTTCATCTTTCTGGTGAGTTGATAATGGTGTCACTTTCATCTTTCTGGTGAGTTGATAATAATAATGGTGTCACTTTCATCTTTCTGGTGAGTTGATAATGGTGTCACTTTCATCTTTCTGGTGAGTTGATAATGGTGTCACTTTTGTCTTTCTGGTGAGTTGATAATGGTGTCACTTTCATCTTTCTGGTGAATAAAACAAAATGTAGTTCAAACGCAAACATATTTTTCAAATTATCTGTATTTACAACATCCAGGCTCAATTTTTATTTTATTTTGCGGCCGTTAGATCCACCAAATTGACATTGTTGACTGTAGATATTGTAGGCATCTCATTACAAACGGCGTTGTCCATCAGATTTTCATAAGTCTCATAACACAGCCACTGTCTGTTGTTTCAGGTCATAATTTTTATTGTGCCAGAGATTAGGACGATGCCTTCAAACTTGCTCCTAGCGTCGTTAGCAGTGGCCAATCTACTCTTCTGCTCAAATGTTGGACTACTTCAGCTAGCTGTACAAGTGAGCGTTCAGCTTTTTTATATTGAGACACTCAATATTATATATATATATATATATATATATATATATATATATATATATATATATATATATATATATATACATATATATATATATATATATATATATATATATATATATATATATATATATAAGATGAGATATTGCAAATACTAGCAATCGCCCGATCATCTGCCAACCACGATTAGGGGTCATCCATTTATGGCGTCCACTTTCACCCTTACCCCCCCCCCCCCCTTTCTATGTGGACGTCCACAAAAATTTAGTAAAATTCTCTCAAACCATCCTACCAAATTACTAATTCAATACCATTAATTTGTATCTGTACAATCTGGAAAAGGCTAGGAATTTATAGGAATTTAATTGATCGCACATAGACGCTCTGTACCTCTTGATTTTGCACGCTGTTTCATACAGGTTGTCAGATGTTGGAGGCAGTCATAAAAAATTTTGATTAAAGAGGCTGGGTTAGTGGAGCTATAGACCAAACTATCTGATGCCATTTGTGGCAGTCTAGCTATTAATGACTATGTGGGTTCAGAGGCGTAGCTACCCATTCTGTCGCCCGGGGCGAACTTTAAATTTTTGGGTCTACGACAAATTCCCGGGCATTTGTCGCATTCGGGCAAGTATCCATTCGGACATTTGTCGCATTCGGGCAAGTATCCATTCGGGCATTTGTCGCATTCGGGCAAGTATCCATTCGGGCATTTGTCGCATTCGGGCAAGTGTCCATTCGGACATTTGTCGCATTCGGGCAAGTATCCATTCGGACATTTGTCGCATTCGGGCAAGTATCCATTCGGGCATTTGTCGCATTCGGGCAAGTGTCCATTCGGACATTTGTCGCATTCGAGCAAGTGTCTTTTGGAATAACGTCCGGCTCCCAAATTTTGCGCTCCCCTCCCGCCCATTTATGTATGTAGTTTTTCAAGCTGATAAAAAAGCACCCACCTCCCAAGTTTGCTAAATTGGTGTCGCTTTTTACAAGTCATCATCCCGTATAGATGTTTATTTTAGTAAAACAGAATAATCTTAGAAGTCAGTTAAACCATTGTGTCAAGCTACGTAGCCGTTTATTTCCTTAAATTTGACTGTGTAATTCACTATCCCAGTTCTAAATAAGCTTTATAATATTTCTTTCTACACCTTTTAGCGCCCCCTTAAGGTCGGCGCCCGGGACAGCCGCCCCACACACTCTACCATTGCTACGTTGCTACGTCACTGTATGGGTTAGGGTAAAATTCGGCAATGCCCCCTCTCCCCCCCCCCCCCCCACGTCCAAATCAAAACAATAAAAAAATAAATTTGCCTTTTTTACTTTCTTATATATACGAAGTATGGAGAAAGTCTTGTAATCGTGCAAAAAAAATTTAGATTGTTGCAAGTTTCCACGTTTTACACCTCACTGATACTGAAAAAAATAATTTTGCAATCTTGTCCGTATGTCTGTGTGTCTGTGTGTGTGTGTGTGTCTGTGTGTGTGTCTGTGTGTGTAAACACGATAACTTGGGTACTGTTACAAGTAGGTTGATGAAATTTCATATATAAGTTTTTTTTCAAAATCGTAGATCCGTATCAACTTTTTAGCGATTTCCGATAACCGGAAGTGGTACTATTTCTACTTTGAATTTTTCAAAAGCATATAACTTGAGTACTATTTTAGATAGATAAACAAAATTTCACATGTAAGTAAAAGATCTAATTCTCTATGTTCTGTCAAATTTTGAGTAATTTCCGTTGACCGGAAGTACTAAATTACGCTATTTCCGATTTCTCAAAAAAACGCATGTAAATTTATAAAGTACTAATCATATTGCGCAATATTATGAACATCTTTATTTGGCGTTCGCTTGGTGTGCAATTCTTTTTTCTAAGAGACTATTCTATTTTAAAAAGTTTAAGTATTTAAAATGGATTAAAAATCATAACTATATCCCGAGCTCCCATCCCCTGTTGTTTTATGTAAGAATATTCGAAAAAGTTTAGGGGAGATCACTCCCGGTTTATTTTTTTAGTCGGGCTGTATACAGTAACATCTCTGATACATTTATTCACTTTTTGTTTTAGTCGGGCTGTATACAGTAACATCTCTGATACATTTATTCACTTTTTGTTTTAGTCGGGCTGTATACAGTAACATCTCTGATACATTTATTCACTTTTTGAGCTGGTGTGTTTTTAACACGAGAACTGCCGATTTCATTCACACATTTTGTAAGCAGTATTTTCAATCAATTTTTATTTTAATTTTAGATATTTTGATGTGAAATTCAACATGTGGACGTCCACATTGACACATCCCCCACCCCGCTCTCCCTCGTCCACATGGGTCCACAATAGTTGTTTGATTTTTTTTCCGCCCCCCCCCCCCATCCCCTCCACCGCCCCCCCCCCTCCATGTTATAAGCATCTGATTGTTGTCTTGCGTGAGAGTCGACCAAGGTCAAATAATTTTTTTTTGTTTTCTCACCAGACACATTCGCACGGGGAGAACCTTTGTAAAACCCTACTAGTCCTGGCTGTTTTTACCATTTGCCTCTCCTGTTTCAGTCGCTGTATCATTGCAATAGACAGGTAGGCCGATTCTTACCATAACCTGTAGTCATGTGTCCACAGGTAAGCTGATTCTTTACATCACCTGTAGTCAGGTGTCCACAGGTAGTCAGGTGTCCACAGGTAGTCAGGTGTCCACAGGTAGGCTAACATCTTCACATCACCTGTAGTCAGGTGTCCACAGGTAGGCTAACATCTTCACATCACCTGTAGTCAGGTGTCCACAGGTAGTCTGATGTCCACACGTAGGCTAACATCTTCACGTCACCTATAGTCAGGTGTCCACAGGTAGTCAGGTGTCCACAGGTAGTCAGGTGTCCACAGGTAGTCAGGTGTCCACAGGTAGTCAGGTGTCCACAGGTAGTCAAGTGTCCACAGGTAGTCAAGTGTCCACAGGTAGTCAGGTGTCCACAGGTAGTCAAGTGTCCACAGGTAGTCAAGTGTCCACAGGTAGTCAAGTGTCCACAGGTAGTCAAGTGTCCACAGGTAGTCAAGTGTCCACAGGTAGTCAAGTGTCCACAGGTAGTCAAGTGTCCACAGGTAGTCAAGTGTCTACAGGTAGTCAAGTGTCCACAGGTAGTCAGATGTCCACAGGTAGGCTAACATCTTCACATCACCTGTAGTCAGGTGTCCACATGTATCCACCATTAGCTGATCCATTGGAGACACCCAACCTAGCGACGCCACTGTTTAGACTGCCAATGTTTTCTAACTTAATTAAAATCATTACTTTTTAAAAAACACCAAGTTTTTTCGAAACTGTCCAGGATGGGGTACTAAGATGAGTCGCTACGTCAGTGACCATCAGTCCTCTATACATGACACCTATACATGACACCTATACATGACACCTATACATGACACCTATACATGACACCTATACATGACACCTATACATGACACCTATACATGACACATATACATGACACCTAACAGTTTTATGTGCCAGTCCTCTATACATGACACCTATACATGACACCTATATATGACACCTATACATGACACCTAACAGTTTTATGTGCAGCTGTAGACCTTCCCTCAGGTACTACGCCATCTCCGTGCCGTTCAAGTACCTGTTCTATGTGTCCGACTTCTACGCCGTGTCCCTGATAGCTCTCGTCTGGACATGTTCTCTCGGACTGGCCTGTCTGCCGCTACTGCACTGGAAGAAATTGGTGGGTCGAGAGTGGGGGGGGGGGGGGGGGTATCGGTGGGTCTAGAATGGATTTTTTAAATCAGTGGGTTTAGAGTGGGGGGTATCGGTGGGTCTAGAATGGATTTTTTAAATCAGTGGGTTTAGAGTGGGATTTGTATCGTTGGATCTAGAATGTGTGTATATGTGGGAAGGGGGGGGGTGAGGGGGGTAGTGGTGGGTTAGAATGGGTTCTTTTATCAGTGGATTCAGAGTGGGATTTTTATCAGTGGATCTAAAATTGTTTTTTAAGCGGTTGATCTAGAATGGAGTTTTAGCATATAAAAGTAGCTTCTTAAATTCAAATGAAAAAAAATATATATATATAAAATATGAAGGGCTAAAGCCTATATTGCTGGAATTATAAAAATGTGAAGGGCTAAAACCTATTTACTGGAACTAAAAAAATGTGAAGGGCTAAAACCTATTTACTGGAACTATAAAAATGTGAAGGGCTAAAGCCTATTTGCTGGAACTATAAAAATGTGAAGGGCTAAAGCCTATTTGCTGGAACTATAAAAATGTGAAAGGCTAAAGCCTATTTGATGGAACTATAAAAATGTGAAAGGCTAAAGCCTGTTTGCTGGAACTATAAAAATGTGAAGGGCTAAAGCCTATTTGCTGGAACTATAAAAATGTAAAGGGCTAAAGCCTATTTGCTGGAACTATACAAATGTGAAGGGCTAAAGCCTATTTGCTGGAACTATAAAAATGTGAAGGGCTAAAGCCTATTTGATGGAACTATAAAAATGTGAAGGGCTAAAGCCTATTTGATGGAACTATAAAAATGTGAAGGGCTAAAGCCTATTTGCTGGAACTATAAAAATGTGAAGGGCTAAAGCCTATTTGCTGGAACTATAAAAATGTGAAGGGCTAAAGCCTATTTGATGGAACTATAAAAATGTGAAGGGCTAAAGCCTATTTGCTGGAACTATAAAAATGTGAAGGGCTAAAGCCTATTTGTTGCCCCAGGTTCCCAGCAGTGACCAGTGTATCAACCATGCTGAATCGGTGCCAGTAGTGGTGATGTTGGTGGTTGTCATCATGGTGCCGGCTGTCATCATGCTCTTCGTCTATTCCAGCATCTTCTACTGGGCCTACATGCAGATAAGGATTATTAAAATGGTAGGAAAACATGCAGGTTAGGATTATTAAAATAGTAGGTAACCCCGTGTAATGCAGATTAGGATTATTAAAATGGTAGGAAAACATGCAGATTAGGATTATTAAAATGGTAGGAAAACACGTGTAATGCAGATTAGGAATATAAAAATGGTAGGAAAACACGTGTAATGCAGATTAGGATTATTAAAATGGTAGGAAAACACGTGTAATTCAGATTAGGATTATTAAAATGGTAGGAAAACACGTGTAATGCAGATTAGAATTATTAAAATGGTAGGAAAACACGTGCAATGCAGATTATGACTATTAAAATAGTAGGAAAACACGTGTAATGCAGATTAGGATTATTAAAATGGTAGGAAAACGCGTGTAATGAAGATAAGGATTATTAAAATCGTAGGAAATAACGTGTAATGCAGATTAGGGTTATTAAAATGGTAGAAAACACGTGTAATGCAGATTAGGATTATTAAAATGGTAGGAAAACACGTGTAATGCAGATTAGGATTATTAAAATGGTAGGAAAACACGTGTAATGCAGATTAGGATTATTAAAATGGTAGGAAAACACGTGTAATGCAGATTAGGATTATTAAAATGGCAGGAAAACACGTGTAATGCAGATTGGGATTATTAAAATGGTAGGAAAACGCGTGTAATGCAGATAAGGATTATTAAAATGGTAGGAAAAAATGTAAGCTAGAAACAACAAAAATATAAAAATGTAGCTTCACAATAATTTCACTACCCCCTCGATTGTTTGTTACATGTTATACATATCTAGTCTAGTATAAATTTAAAATTTTCTCTTTAATTTGCGCCTATAAGGGTAAGGGAGTAGAGCTGATTAACTTAATTTACCTTGACATATAAGGGCAGATTGGGTTCAATGACCTGGGAATATAAGGACAAAGTGTGGGCAGAGCGCTCTTTGGTCCGATATTAATTATTTTATGTTTATGAATGTTACACAAAATTTAAAATAATTGTCTCGATGTTTGCTGGTAATATGCCTCCCCCCCCCTCCACCCCAAACAAGCAAAAACATGTTTAACTAAAGCTACTATTTGAATGTTTACAGCAAATATGCTATCCACATGCTAACGTTGACGTCCCATTTGCAAATTTACGCCGCTACTCAATGGCAGCGTCGCTGATGCTGCCTAAAAACGCAAACTTGAACATCGAGTGTATCGTGCAAGAGCAAACGAAATTGCGAAACTCTACTGTGGTAGACTCCTCTTTCGCGATGGACGACCCTAAAGGTTCCCCACCGCAACACCCCTCCACGCAATCACTCCAACGACTTGCAATCAACGTATCCTCGAATCAGTGCGTTGTGAAATTTGCCTCGAAAAATCAGAACAGTGAGATGGACTTCAGCAACCCCGGCCCGTCCAATCGTAAAGGCACGTCAGTGGACCTCATCCAGTACTCGGCCACGACATCCACGATCTCCAGCCCCACCCCGGCCTCCGTGGGTGGCACCACTCCAACGGTAGAGCGCGAATCGTATCAAAAGCGGAGAAGTCTACGGTCCAACTCGCTTGTTGAGAGGAGACAGCTGCGGAAGTTCTCGCGTCAAGCCTCAGTGGTGCAGGAGAGTGCGCTGAGGAACTCTACCCTCAAAGCTTTCATTGTCGTCTTCCTCACCTTCGGGGCCTTCATCATCGCGTGGACCCCTTTCTTAGTGCTGGCTGTACGCTCCATTGGGCAGCCTGACAAGGTCTCAGACACGGAGGGGTCGGTAGGTCCCATTCAGTCTAGTCACATTTAGTCTAGTCACATTTAGTCACATTTAGTCTAGTCACATTTAGTCTAGTCACATTTAGTCTAGTCACATTTAGTCTAGTCACATTTAGTCTAGTCACATTCAGTCTAGACACATTAAGTCTAGTCACATTTAGTCTAGTCACATTAGGGGACATTTAGTTTAGTCACATTTAGTCTAGTCACATTTAGTCTAGTCACATTTAGTCTAGTCACATTTAGTCTAGTCACATTTAGTCACATTTAGTCTAGTCACATTTAGTCACATTTAGTCTAGTCACATTCAGTCACATTTAGTCTAGTCACATTTAGTCTAGTCACATTTAGTCTAGTCACATTTAGTCTAGTCACATTTAGTCTAGTCACATTTAGTCTAGTCACATTTAGTCTAGTCACATTTAGTCACATTTAGTCTAGTCACATTTAGTCACCTCACATTTAGTCTAGTCACATTTAGTCTAGTCACATTCAGTCTAGACACATTTAGTCTAGTCACATTTAGTCTAGTCACATTTAGTCTAGTCACATTTAGTCTAGTCACATTTAGTCACATTTAGTCTAGTCACATTTAGTCACATTTAGTCTAGTCACATTTAGTCTAGTCACATTCAGTCTAGACACATTTAGTCTAGTCACATTTAGTCTAGTCACATTTAGTCTAGTCACATTTAGTCTAGTCACATTTAGTCACATTTAGTCTAGTCACATTTAGTCACATTTAGTCTAGTCACATTGTCACATTTAGTCTAGTCACATTTAGTCTAGTCACATTTAGTCTAGTCACATTTAGTCTAGTCACATTTAGTCTAGTCATATTTAGTCACATTTAACCTAGTCACATTTAGTCTAGTCACATTAGGGGACATTTAGTTTAGTCACATTTAGTCTAGTCACATTTAGTCTAGTCACATTTAGTCTAGTCACATTTAGTCTAGTCACATTTAGTCACATTTAGTCTAGTCACATTTAGTCAAATTTAGTCTAGTCACATTCAGTCACATTTAGTCTAGTCACATTTAGTCTAGTCACATTTAGTCTAGTCACATTTAGTCTAGTCACATTTAGTCTAGTTACATTTAGGCTCCTCACATTTAGTCTAGTCACATTTAGTCTAGTCACATTTAGGCTCCTCACATTTAGTCTAGTCACATTTAGTCTAGTCACATTTAGTCTAGTCACATTTAGTCTAGTCACATTTAGTCTAGTCACATTTAGTCTAGTTACATTTAGGCTCCTCACATTTAGTCTAGTCACATTTAGTCTAGTCACATTTAGGCTCCTCACTTTTAGTCTAGTCACATTTAGTCTAGTCACATTTAGTCTAGTTACATTTAGGCTCCTCACATTTAGTCTAGTCACATTTAGTCTAGTCACATTTAGGCTCCTCACTTTTAGTCTAGTCACATTTAGTCTAGTCATATTTAGGCTCCTCACGTTTAGTCTAGTCACATTTAGGCTCGTCACATTTAGGCTCCTCACATTTAGTCTAGTCACATTTAGGCTCCTCACGTTTAGTCTAGTCACATTTAGTCTAGCCACATTTATGCTCCTCACATTTAGTCTAGTCACATTTAGGCTCTTCACATTTAGTCTAGTCACATTAGTCTAGTCACATTTAGTCTAGTCACATTTAGTCTAGTCACAATTAGGCTCCTCACATTTAGTCTAGTCCTAGAATAGACAGTAGACAGGGATATTGCTGAATAGACAGAAAAGTTTTCACCAGATGGGATCCGAACCCATCACTCCACACAGACTCAAGCTTTTATGTAGTAATGCATTTAAAAAGTAGAAAATAAATTATACACTACTATTTAAATAACTATAAAGAAAAGCGTGGGTCACTTTAGTATCTATTGGATACGTTTACTAATATTTGAGAAGAGACCCACGCTTTTCTTTATATTTATTTAAATAGTAGTGTATAATTTATTTTCCCCTTTTTAGTGCATGATTACATAAAAAGCTTGCTATTAAAAAGTTTTTTATTCATTATTAAAAAATACTTAACTTTTTTTTTAAATTTACAATAGAGTTGCATGGCTAAAAACCATTGCGTACCTAATCAACGTGATGATGCTTGTTTAATAGTGCGGAATAGTTGGATGATACAGCTTACTAATTTGGCCACAATTTTAATCAATTCATAAAAAATTAATTAGGCAACCATTTAAGTCATATTTAAAGTCATGTTGCATTGTCTTCATGTCTTGACCCACGCGCCAACTTTAAACCGTATCTGTCAGAAGTGCCAAAATTTTTGCTCGGGCGTTTCGATCTAGATGGAGGACAGAGACAGTGAGTTAAATAAAAGCTTGTAAAAACATTTATAGCAGCAAGCTTTTAAATGCAACGAAAATGAGAAAATAAAAATAATTTGATTTTTTTTCATAGTTGGCTTTCTTTTCACTCCCCAGATATCCCTGTTTTATCTACTCCCCAGATATCCCTGTTTTTATCTACTCCCCAGATATCCCTGTTTTTATCTACTCCCCAGATATCCCTGTTTTTATCTACTCCCCAGATATCCCTGTTTTATCTACTCCCCAGATATCCCTGTTTTTATCTACTCCCCAGATATCCCTGTTTTTATCTACTCCCCAGATATCCCTGTTTTTATCTACTCCCCAGATATCCCTATTTTATCTACTCCCCAGATATCCCTATTTTATCTACTCCCCAGATAGCCTTACTCATCGGCTCCCTCTCATCAATAACAGACCCCTTCATCTACGGCCTTATCAATCAACCATTCCGAAGCGCCGCCAAACGGAGAATTCTTCGTCGTTTCTTTAACATTATCGCCATGGACATGTAGCACATAAATGCCGACTACCAGACTTGACACACACTCCACCGACAGACTTTTGCCTAATGAATTTTTGAGCTTGAGTACATCAGGCGAACAAGAACTAAATCTTATCTGGCAAACTAGACATACATTTTATTTGGCCAACAAGAAGTTGACCGTATCTGGCCATCGTTGAACCAGACACTTTCTGATCCAGCCTCCGCACATAACTTATGTAGCCTCTTTGTGAAAGCCAGGCAGATCTTTAAATATTGTTGTGGTGTTTTCTAGATTCATGTGATTGTGACCTTTGTAGTGGTGTTTTATTTAGTTTCATGGTGTTCTAATGTCATAGTTTGCTGGTGTATGGCTACATTAAATTTAAACTACTACTTCATTGCTTGTGATATAAAATCAGGAAGTGTTTTAATGTGCTACAACCGATCCTTGAATATGCTTACATACACACACAACACACTCTCACTCAGACCACTCACATACACACACACACACAACTTCTTTTACTACTTCGTTCTTAATTGCAGTATTGTCGAGGTTTTTCGCAATAACTATTAAAAATATTACGTTTATTATGTGAATGATGGCTCCGATTTCAGCCTGCTTTTCTTTCTGGATTTGCTTCCATAACCTTTGACCACCTAAGAACAAACTACAAGGCAGCAGTTGTTGTTTTATTTTTATTTTGGAGTTGTCTCTCCTAGATAGGTTGTTGCCCCAGCTAACGAGCCTCATCTGCTTGTGGCCCGGGCTCGGCACTTTTTGAGTTAGCCATTATTAGCTTTCCCGCCCCATCACGTGTTTACACACACACACACACACACACAAAACATCTGATATACTCACACACACAATCTGATACATTCACATACACACACACACAAACGAATCAGATACAGACAACTCAGTTTATTTGATTCCGCTCAAAATGTCATCAGCAGTGTCACCACAGATCAATATCGTCAGTCCTGTCTGTTTGGTGACTAAATTAGTCACCCTCGACCAGCGGGTGGTGACTAAGTTGGTCGTTATTACTCATGTCATCCAGCTAGTCATTTAATAGTTACATCATAACTTAATCCCCCTATATACTGGTCACCTTTTCTTACATCATCACTTAATCACCCTATATACTGGTCACCCTTACATCATCACTTAATCACCCTATATACTGGTCACCTTTTCTTACATCATCACTTAATCACCCTATATACTGGTCACCTTTTCTTACATCATCACTTAATCACCCTATATACTGGTCACCTTTTCTTACATCATCACTTAATCACCCTATATACTGGTCACCTTTTCTTACATCATCACTTAATCCCCCTATATACTGGTCACCTTTTCTTACATCATCACTTAATCACCCTATATACTGGTCACCTTTTCTTACACCATCACTTAATCACCCTATATACTGGTCACCTTTTCTAGCCAATACATACACCAGTCACCATCCGGTTCACCCTGAAGATTAGTCACATGATCTTTAATCAAGTGGCCAGTCACCAATGAGGTCACTGTGTAGGTCATCAAACCGACGGGTCACCCACTGTCTCCACTGGTCAGCCACCACCAGTCGTCCAGTGGAGTTAATCTACTACGGGTCCAAATGCAGGAAGTTCAGAGGTCAGGTGAGGTCAAGCCGACTGGTCAGCTGACGGTCAGCTTAAATACAGGTCTCGGTGCAGTTGGCCCTCTTGACGGGGGACATGAAGGAGCTGGGGGTGCTGTGGGTGGAGAAGGAGGGTATGCTTGGCTTGGTGGCGGTGGTAGGTTCCGTCTCCCGGCAGTTCTTAGAGCAGCATTGGGTGAAGGATTTTCTGGGGAGGAAAAGGTCGTTTCGACAAAGGTCATTCTGGGGAAGATAATTTATTTGGTCAATAGGTCATTCTATAGGGAAAATTTTAGCTTCGCCAGAACAAGGTTTGTTCTGCTATCACGTCATTAACTTAAAACCTAAATATAAAACAATCACGTGACTACCTGCCTACACAATCACGTGGCTACCTGCCAAGACAATCACGTGACTATCTGTCAACACAATCACGTGACTGTCAACACAATCACGTGACTACCTCTCAACACAGTCACGTGACTATCTGTCAACACAATCACGTGACTGTCAACACAATCACGTGACTACCTCTCAACACAATCACGTGACTATCTGTCAACACAATCACGTGACTGTCAACACAATCACGTGACTACCTCTCAACACAATCACGTGACTACCTGTCAACACAATCACGTGACTGTCAACACAATCACGTGACTATCTGTCACCACAGTCACGTGACTACCTCTCAACACAATCACGTGGCTACCTGTCAACACAATCACGTGACGACCAACCCACCTGTATTGTCTGTTCATGGCAGCGTATATGATCGGGTTCCAGCAAGAATTGCTGTATGCCAGCAACAAAAATATCTGTCATCAAACAAATAAAAAACATTTTTATACTTAAAGCTGTAGAGTGAACTGGGAAATAAAAAGAATTACACAAACTTGCTTTCTGTAACAATGGCAGTGTTTGGTGAAACACAGGGGCGGATTAAGGGAGAGGCTGAGAGGGCTGCAGCCGGGGGCTCCCGGTTATTAGGGACCCCAAATTTCCCTCTTACAAATCATAGTGAATTTTACTTTATAACGTAATTGTTTGTTTCCCTTCATTATAAAAACTAACGCTTTAATGTCTGAGTCACAATCTAATAACCTTTTTCTCTTCAAAATATCAAACACTGAAATTACCAGCTGTCATCATCTCCTACCCAGACGTTGTGTCAATAAAGCCGACATTCCCTAAAATAACATAGACCGGACCGGTGTGCAGAGGCGTAGCGACCCTTCCCGGCGCCCGGGGACAAACTTTCAATTTGGCGCCCCCCCCCCCCTCAAACTTTTGATTTGCACCCCCCCCCTCAAACTTTCAATTTACACCCCTCCCCCCCTAACCCTAACCTTAACCGGCAAAATGCAGCTAAAATGACTTTTAATTTGTTTTTACAACCCATTTTGGCGCCCCCTAAGGTCGGCGCCCGGGGATATATGTACCCTCCTGCCCCCCCCCCCCCCCATCACTACGCCTCTGCCGGTGTGCACTTATGACAATCAAATTAGTGATTTTAGAGTCCAAAAATTTACAAACAGCAACCAAATTCTGACAAATGAGTTTATACATACTATTGACACCACCTCCTCTTCAAATCCCTTTCCCCACCCCCAAGCCTTTAAAAAAGAAAAAAATATTTCATCTGAACACGTAGCGCGGAGGTAACCAAAACATTTTTTTTAAATAATGCAAAAGTTAGACATAGGGTCTACATTCTGAATTTGCTCTCATTCATACGCTTTTAGACTAGCAGCAATATAGACTAACACTAGCAGTGAATTAAAGAAAAGGCCTGACCGTCTCTGCTCACCAACTAAGAAAGGTACGGAAATATGCTTGACATATCTGTTATTATAAGTCAGGTTTCGGATAGCTTTACTTTTTAGGCATAGAGTATCTAGATCTAGTTGTTTGGATTAAAACCTTCCTATGCATTATTTGAGATATGGTCTTTCTTAGTTGCCACTTCAAGTCTGGCGATCGTAGCGCAGATGGTGTCGGATAAAGGGGCGGTGGCGGAGAGGGCCCCTGATTTTTAGAGGTCTTCAAATTTGCTCTTACATAGTTAATTTAATTTTCGGACAGACTTTTGTTTTATGTAAATTAAGTGACCGTTTGAATGTTTCAATGGAAAGCATATACACACACACACACACACACATGTTGATTGACCTTTTGGCGGGGGATAAACCAGAGAGAGTTGCTTGGACAGAGGAGTACAACAGGGCTCTTGGGCTGATACAGGAGCACTTAAACTCAGAGCCTGTCCTTGTCCTGCCCGATATTAACCAACCGTTCATACTCAGGACGGACGCCTCAGCACGCGGCATAGGCGCAGTGCTACTGCAGGCTAAAGAGGGGGGTGCTGCGGCCCGTCACATATGTCAGCAGGAAGTTGCTACCGCGTGAGACGAGGTACTCAACAATTGAGAGGGAATGTTTGGCCATTATCTGGGCAGTGGGGAAGTTAGCACTGTACTTAAACAACGTACACTTTACACTCCAAACGGACCAACGAGCTTTGAAGTATTTAAATAACTGTAGTTACAGCGACTCTAGATTAACTCGATGGTCTCTATTGTTACAAGAATTTAAGTTTACTATAGAGCATATACCAGGAAAAGAGAATATAGTAGCTGACATGCTATCAAGGGAATTGAGAGAATGAGTACTAGAGGGTGGATTTTGAAAGCGTGAGTGCTAGACTCGCTATGTATTGTCACTAATAGCAATAGAAACAAAAAGTATGCAAGTACACTTGAAATTTTATAATTGTTCTAATTGGCTCCAAGGAAGTTTAATTTTGCGTGAATGAATGAGTGCGTGAGCTATTGAACGTTGGTCGCAATATATATATATATATATATATATATATATATATATATATATATATATATATATATATATATATATATATATATATTTAAAAAAAATTCATCAAATGTGCTAATTGCTCTCGCTCTCTCGCTATCTCTCGCACCAGCGCTCCCGACGTTAGCGGTTAGGGGAAGCCGCGCTCAGCAGAACAAGGATTCAGCGAATTAATAAACAGCACAAACTAAGAAGGTCTCCTGTCCCGTTGATTATTTTACTGTAGCTGACTCGGGTAGAATAATTAAATACCCCTAGACAACGACGGCCTTATTGGCTAGCGCCCGAGCCAGTGTCAGCAACGTATTCGGCCGGCGACTAAGCAGCCGGACGGCAACAACGTAGTCCGGTCTGCAACAGGACCCCCAAACAATTTCAACCGGGGCCCTCACTTAAGCTTAATCCGCCCTTGCTAAAATATGCATGAAATCTTAATAGCTTTTATTTAAGAAACTAAGTTTATTTTTTTTATTTTTTCAGTGCATTTAAAACAATTGTATTAAGAAACTTTTATCTAAAGGTTTATTTATATTAGTTTAATTGTATAACGTTTCTAATAAAGTCTACACCATCTGCAACCCGATCAGCAGCTTGTAATATCTCAAATTATCTTCTTGTATAAGTCATTAGTTGCATTAAGGCAAGAAATAAAACAGCGACTTATGTTATTGTTGGGAAAAAAGAATATTTTTTTAAAAAACTTAATGGAGGAATCTATTTAATATTAGGAGTACATTATAAAATAAAAATGAACCATACGTCTTAAAAAAATCTTTAGTGCACTTCAAATGGCGTGCCACAAACTTCGGGTTAAATCTACTGCACCTACCTCTTTTATTTGGTTGGCGTAGTGCAAGCTACCCAACGCTTCTATGACACTGATGATTCCAAACGGTAGCCAACATATGACATACACCATCACGATGATAGATAGGATGTAAGCAGCCTAGGATACAAGACCAACATATGACATACACCATCACAATGATAGATAGGATGTAAGCAGCCTAGGATACAAGAGCAACATATGACATACACCATCACGATGATAGATAGGATGTAAGCAGCCTAGGATACAAGAGCAACATATGACATACACCATCACGATGATAGATAGGATGTAAGCAGCCTAGGATACAAGACCAACATATGACATACACCATCACGATGAATGATAGGATGTAAGCAGCCTAGGATACAAGAGCAACATATGACATACACTATCACGATGATAGATAGGATGTAAGCAGCCTAGGATACAAGACCAACATATGACATACACCATCACAATGATAGATAGAATGTAAGCATCCTAGGATACAAGACCAACATATGACATACACCATCACGATGATAGAGGCCAACAAATGACATACAACTACTCGATAATAGATACCAAAAATGACTAACACCATCTCGTTGATAGAGGCCAACAAATGACATACACCCTGATATATGCGAATAAAAAGTTTAGAGGAGCTCACTCTAGCATTTGTTTTTACAGTTATGACAGTTTCACAAAAAAGCTACTGAGTACTAAACCACATATCAAGACAGTTTCAAGGCCAAGACATATCAAATCTGACCTTCTTCTCGTTGTTGTTAAAAGAATGAATGCGCAGAACTTGATTGACACTCTCCCTCATAGACCACTTGGGGGCGGTGGTTTTGATCATCAGCCTGTCCGTGTATATGTGGTGGAAGGAATCGTTGCGTGAAGACAACAGCTTGGAGGAGAAGGATTTTTCTGGAGCTTCCTTCACGCTGAGACTCTCCATGTAGCCGTTGTCGATGTCGGTGCTGATGTTGTTGTTGACTGAGATGTCGTGTTGGAAGCTGTCTGTAGGCACCATCAGTATGCGATGCTCAACTGGCCATATTTTTTCTGGAACATTCTCAGATGTGACCCCATGCACTGGAGGGTCAGGGTCTGGCTCCGTGTCTTGGAGAGTGTGGAAGGGCGGGAGAATGTTGATTTCATAGTTAATCTCTTGCGGTTGGAATGCTATCTTCTCTTCATAATCTCTTCTGTTTATCTCCACATAACGGTGTTTAGGAGGTACATAGATTAACAAGCGGCTACCTACAAAAACACATAAACACATTTAAGTAAAACTGCCTACGTTTACATTATATATATATATATATATATATATATATATATATATATATATATATATATATATATATATATATATATATATATATATATATATATATACATGAGGGAGCTGGTAATTCGCACCCCTGGGGGAATAATTTAAAAAGCAAGTTCAAGTAAGAAATACTTTATTTTTACTTTGAAGCAATCTTTACCATAAATTGTAAACAAGAAAAGCAAAATAGCCCAAAGTGTAACAATGGCTTTTAGGTCAATGAGTAACAATTGTCTAATGTAGGTCAGTATTTAAGAAATGGCGTTATGTAGGTCAGTGTGTAGCGATGTGGTACCTATACTTCTGTAAACTCTAATGAAGACGAGCATGTAGATGACGAAGACAAAGAGACATGGGATGAAGATGACCACGACAACGATGGACACTGTGTACACGGGTTTCGGATATAGCACACACAATTTTCGTGTACTGTCGTCTGTGACGCTCTCAGCCTGAACAATGAGCAAAGGAACGATATATATATATATATATATATATATATATATATATATATTTATATATATATATATATATATATATATATATATATATATATATATATATATATATATATATATATATATATATATATATATATAGTAATTAATGACTCCTCCTAAACCGATAGTTATCCAAAGGATAACAGGTGGTCTAGTATACATCTTAATATCTATGACATCAATCTTTTAGAACTATTATATATTTTTTGCAAATTATATTTTTTTAATGTTCCAAAAAAGATTTCCCCAAAAAACAGCCATAACTTGGACAACGTGATCTACTCAAAAAGAACTGTATGAAAAGATCGCTTAGAAAGGAAAAAGTTTTTAAAGAACGTAGTTAAAAAAAACATAATAAAGAACATGTGTACGGACCACGACTTTGGGGAAGTTCTTGAGATTGGTGAGAAAAATGGGCAGTGCCAGACACAAACTAAAGATCCAGATGGCGCAGAGTGCCAGTGTGATCCTGGACTTGGTGAAACAGTCACGGTGGTTGAGCTGGACGAATAACGTCACGTACCTGCAAGTACAAGACAGGTTTCAGGTCAGAGACAGGTGACATAGGTCAGAGACAGGTGAGACAGGTCAGAGACAGGTGAGACAGGTCAGAGAAAGGTGACACAGGTCAGAGACAGGTGAGACTGGTGACACAGATCAGAGACAGGTGACACAGGTCAGAGACAGGTGAGACAGGTGACACAGGTCAGAGACAGGTGAGACAGGTGACACAGATCAGAGACAGGTGAGACAGGTGACACAGGTCAGAGACAGGTCAGAGACAGGTGACACAGGTCAGAGACAGGTGAGACAGGTGACACAGGTCAGAGACAGGTCAGAGACAGGTGACACAGGTCAGAGACAGGTGAGACAGGTGAGACAGGTCAGAGACAGGTGACACAGGTCAGAGACAGGTGAGACAGGTGACACAGGTCAGAGACAGGTGACACAGGTGACACAGATCAGAGACAGGTGACACAGGTGACACAGATCAGAGACAGGTGACACAGGTCAGAGACAGGTGAGACAGGTGACACAGATCAGAGACAGGTGACACAGGTCAGAGACAGGTGAGACAGGTCAGAGACAGGTGAGACAGGTGACACAGATCAGAGACAGGTGAGACAGGTGAGACAGGTCAGAGACAGGTGACACAGGTCAGAGACAGGTGAGACAGGTGACACAGGTCAGAGACAGGTGACACAGGTGACACAGATCAGAGACAGGTGACACAGGTGACACAGATCAGAGACAGGTGACACAGGTCAGAGACAGGTGAGACAGGTGACACAGATCAGAGACAGGTGACACAGGTCAGAGACAGGTGAGACAGGTGACACAGATCAGAGACAGGTGACACAGGTCAGAGACAGGTGAGACAGGTGACACAGGTCAGAGACAGGTGACACAGGTCAGAGACAGGTGACACAGGTCAGAGACAGGTGACACAGGTCAGAGACAGGTGAGACAGGTGACACAGGTCAGAGACAGGTGAGACAGGTGACACAGGTCAGAGACAGGTGACACAGGTCAGAGACAGGTGACACAGGTCAGAGACAGGTGACACAGGTCAGAGACAGGTGACACAGGTCAGAGACAGGTGAGACAGGTCAGAGACAGGTGACACAGATCAGAGACAGGTGAGACAGGTCAGAGACAGGTGACACACATTTTAACTGAGAAAATATTGACACAAATTTCTGGTGAGAGAATGGTGACACAAATTTTTGGTGAGAACAAAGTGACACGCGTTTCTGGTGAGAGAATGGTGACACAACAAGGTTTAACTGAGGAAAGGGTGACATTTGGATACATAACTGGACTCACCAACGTCACATACAGCTTACGGTAGTGAAGGTAAAAACCACATATTTTAATCACTCTGATTGAAATCACATGTTTGACAGTACGTGTTGCGGGTGAACAGAGCTTTCAATCATACGTTAGAGCAGCGATGGTGATATACGAAGTTTTATAACAGCAATTGTGATATACGAAGTTTTTATCTAACGTAACATGGCAAAAGTCGATGTGTGCTGTTAAGGAATGGTAAGTTCGAGCACGATCACGTGATAAAAAAGTGACCCAGACTGTGACCTTTCTCACCTGTCGATGGCGATGATGCAGATGTTAAAGCTGGAGGAGGAGCAGACGAGGACGACGATGAAGGACCAGATGTAGCACGCCAGTCTGTTGGACGGTACCCGGATGTCCATAGACTAGAGGTCAAACATGACACGTGACTCGGACACGTGACTCAATCACGTGATTGAGACAGGTGTCTTAGACACGAAGTACAAGACCAACATTTAACCAACCCCACGAAGTACATAGCCAACATTTAACCAACCCCAGGCCAGAAATTGTGACACAAAAGCCACTTACCACCACACAAAACCCACCACCAAACAAAAGCCACTAACCACCACACAAAACCCACTTACCAACACACAAAACCCACACCACCACACAAAAGCCACTTACCACCACATAAAAGCCACTTACCACCACACAAAAACCACTTACCACCAGACAAAAGCCATTTACCACAACACAAAACCCACCACCAGACAAAAGCCACTTACCACCAGACAAAAGCCACTTACCACCAGACAAAAGCCACTTACCACCACACAAAACCCACACCACCACACAAAAGCCACTTACCACCAGACAAAAGCCACTTACCACCACACAAAACCCACACCACCACACAAAAGCCACTTACCACCAGACAAAAGCCACTTACCACCAGACAAAAGCCACTTACCACCACACAAAACCCACACCACCACACAAAAGCCACTTACCACCAGACAAAAGCCACTTACCACCAGACAAAAGCCACTTACCACCACATCTAGCTTGACGATGACGTTGAGTGCCAGAGTGCTGCCACTGACCAACAGGTCAGCCACGGCCAGAGAGAGGATGAACAAGCTGGACCGATGTGTGCGTAGGAGGGGCTTCATGCACAACCCAAACTATAACATAAAGGGCTTCATGCAGAACCCAAACTACAACATAAAGGGCGTTATACAGAATCAAACCTACAACAAAAAAGGGCTTTATAGAATCAATGGCCCGCTACACCAGATGGCCCGCTACACCAGATGGCCCACTACACCACATGGCCCACTACACCAGATGGCCCACTACACCAGATGGCCCGCTACACTAGATGGCCCAGATGGCCCACTACACCAGGTGGCCCGCTACACCAGATGGCCCAGATGGCCCACTACACCAGATGGCCCTCTACACCAGATGGCCCCCTACACCAGATGGCCCACTACACCAGATGACCCAGATGGCCCGCTACACCAGATGGCCCGCTACACCAGATGGCCCCCTACACCAGATGGCCCCCTACACCAGATGGCCCGCTACACCAGATGGCCCAGATGGCCCACTACACCAGATGGCCCACTACACCAGATGGCCCCCTACACCAGATGGCCCCCTACACCAGATGGCCCGCTACACTAGATGGCCCAGATGGCCCACTACACCAGGTGGCCCGCTACACCAGATGGCCCAGATGGCCCACTACACCAGATGGCCCACTACACCAGATGGCCCCCTACACCAGATGGCCCCCTACACCAGATGGCCCCCTACTTACAATGACGACAGAGTTGAGCAGCAGGCCGAGGACCGAGAGGACGATCAAGACATATCGCACGACGCCGGACTCAGGATTCTCCGCATCCGCCATGCTCCAGAAGATGGCGGACAGATTCCAGACCGAATCGGTCACGGTTGACTGGCTCATCTGGGTGGTGGTCTGGATGCTGGAGCCGTTCATTGCACCTGTCGAGTTGGTGGGGAGTGTGACAGGCGGGAACATTGTGACAGACGGGAACATTGTGACAGACGGGAACATTGTGACAGACGGGAACATTGTGACAGACGGGAACATTGTGACAGACGGGAACATTGTGACAGACGGGAACATTGTGACAGACGGGAACATTGTGACAGACGGGAACATTGTGACAGACGGGAACATTGTGACAGACGGGAACATTGTGACAGACGGGAACATTGTGACAGACGGGAACATCGTGTCTGTGACAGGCGGGAACATTGTGACAGACGGGAACATTGTGTTTGTGACAGACGGGAACATTGTGACAGACGGGAACATTGTGACAGACGGGAACATTGTGTCTGTGACAGACGGGAACATTGTGACAGACGGGAACATTGTGTCTGTGACAGACGGGAACATTGTGTCTGTGACAGACGGGAACATTGTGTCTGTGACAGACGGGAACATTGTGTCTGTGACAGACGGGAACATTGTGACAGACGGGAACATTGTGACAGACGGGAACATTGTGACAGACGGGAACATTGTGACAGGCGGGAACATTGTGACAGACGGGAACATTGTGACAGTCGGGAACATTGTGACAGACGGGAACATTGTGACAGACGGGAACATTGTGTCTGTGACCGACGGGAACATTGTGTTTGTGACAGACGGGAACATTGTGACAGACGGGAACATTGTGACAGACGGGAACATTGTGACAGACGGGAACATTATGACAGACGGGAACATCGTGTCTGTGACAGGCGGGAACATTGTGACAGACGGGAACATTGTGTCTGTGACAGACGGGAACATTGTGTCTGTGACAGACGGGAACATTGTGTTTGTGACAGACGGTAACATTGTGTCTGTGACAGACGGGAACATTGTGTCTGTGACAGACGGGAACATTGTGTCTGTGACAGACGGGAACATTGTGTCTGTGACAGACGGGAACATTGTGTTTGTGACAAACGGGAACATTGTGTTTGTGACAGACGGGAACATTGTGACAGACGGGAACATTGTGACAGACAGTAACATTGTGACAGACGGGAACATTGTGACAGACGGGAACATTGTGACAGTCGGGAACATTGTGACGGACGGGAACATTGTGACAGACGGGAATATTGTGACAGACGGGAACATTGTGACAGACGGGAACATTATGTCTGTGACAGACGGGAACATTGTGACGGACGGGAACATTGTGTCTGTGACAGACGGGAACATTGTGACAGACGGGAACATCGTGTCTGTGACAGGCGGGAACATTGTGACAGACGGGAACATTATGTCTGTGACAGACGGGAACATTGTGACAGACGGGAACATTATGTCTGTGACAGACGGGAACATTGTGACGGACGGGAACATTGTGTCTGTGACAGACGGGAACATTGTGACAGACGGGAACATTGTGTCTGTGACAGACGGGAACATTGTGTCTGTGACAGACGGGAACATTGTGACGGACGGGAACATTGTGTCTGTGACAGACGGGAACATTGTGACAGACGGGAACATCGTGTCTGTGACAGGCGGGAACATTGTGACAGACGGGAACATTGTGACGGACGGGAACATTGTGTCTGTGACAGACGGGAACATTGTGTCTGTGACAGACGGGAACATTGTGACAGACGGGAACATTGTGTTTGTGACAGACGGGAATATTGTGACGGACGGGAACATTGTGTCTAGAATCTTCCATATTATTTGTTTCTCAAAATATTAAAATTAGATTTCTTTACCAGATTGAAGTAAAAAAATGTGTATAAAAGTTTGCTATAAAAACATTTTAAACAAATTTTGTTAACATTGTCAACACAGTAATGATCATCTGGTCAAACTAAGCATTGTCCATGTCAGCCATCTTGGCTAGCTTTACAGTTAACATTTCGAGTTCATTTTTGCTTTTAACCAGAATTACATGTTTAGTGAGCATGAACTGCACTTATAACTAGATCTAGATCTAGATCTACATCATACTGATGATTGAGATCTATTTCTGATGTCAACATTAGCTACACAGCTTGATCTAGATCTACGTTATCGGTAAACTTTCATACTAAGGCTACAAAATACCTGTGGATCGCTTCATCTGAAATATGAATTATTTGCACTTGGTTCAAATCATGATTTGAAGTTTAGATCAGGATACCCATCACTAGAATCTATTCTTTGATTTTTTGTTTACATTTTTAGTTTTGCTCTCACAACCCGCCATTGTGCGACTTGATGCGCACTGTAACCAAAACAAGAACGTTTTGGCGCGCAAATAACAAACGTACGCTGTTGGGTAAAAGATTCAAGTGTTGGGGCTGTTCTGCCTTTTTACTTTCTCGTATATACGAAGTATAGAGAAAGTATTGTAATCGTGCACAAAAATCAATTGAAATTTTAACAATTTTTACCGTATTACACCTCAGTCCTTCATCACATCCGAAGTATAGAGGACTTATTTTAATCGGGCAAAAATTATCAATCCAGATTTATCAAAATTAAGAGGTTTTATGCGTAATCCAGTTTGAAAAACTGGGCGTTGCAATTCTGTCCGTATGTCTGTGTGTGTGTGTGTCTGTCTGTCTGTCCGTGTGTAAACACGATAACTTGAGTACCGTTACAGCTAGGTTGATGAAATTTCATATATAAGTATTTCATCAAAATCGTAGATCCGTATCAACTTTTGAGCGATTTCCGATAACCGGAAGTGGTACTTTTCCTACTTTGAATTTTTTAAAAGCCTATAACTTGAGTACTATTTCAGATAGATAAATGAAATTTCACATGTAAGTAAAAGATCTAATTCTCTACCTTCTGTTAAATTTTGAGTAATTTCCGTTGACTGGAAGTAGTAATTTACGCCACTTCCGATTTCTCAAAAAACTAATGTAAATTTTAAAAGTACTAATAATATTGCGCACTATTATGCGCTTTTTTATTTCGCGTTCACTTGGTGTGCAATTAATTTGTCTACGAGATTTTATTCTATTTTTAAAACTTTAAGTATTTAAAATGGATTAAAAATCATGTCTATAGCCCGAGTTCCCATCCCCTGTTATTTTATATAAAAATATTCGAGAAAGTTTAGGGGAGATCACTCCCGGTTTATTACTTTCTCGTATACGAAGTATAGAGAAAGTTTTGTAAACGTGCAAAATAAAATAAACCGGGAGTGATCTCACCTAAACTTTCTCGAATAGAGAAAATTCACATGCGGTTTTTTGAGAAATCGGAAATAGCGAAAATTACTACTTCTGGTCAACGGAAATTACTCAAAATTTTAAAGAAGGCAAAGAATTAGATCTTTTACTTACATGTGAAATTTCATTTATCTATCTGAAATAGTACTCAAGTTATAGGCTTTTGAAAAATTGAAAGTAGAAAAAGCTCTACTTTCGGTTATCGGAAATCGCTATTTCCGATTTCTCAAAAAAATGCATTTGAATTTATAAAGTAATAATATTCCCAACTATTATACACAGATTGTTTGGCGTTCAATTGGTGCGCAGTTCTTTTTTCTACGAGATTCTATAGTTTAAGTAATTAAAAATGGATTAAAAATATTGTCTATATCCCGAGTTGCCATCCCCCGTAGTGTTATATAAGAATATTCGAGAAAGTTTAGGGGAAATCACTCTTTATTTTTCGTGTTACAGATTATATTATACTAACTCTAATCATAGCAATAGACTAACAGTGTTAACTTCACCCAGAGGGTGTGCGGCATACAGAAATAAATTCACCATCTCTAAAAAAAATTCACAATATTAACGCCGAGCTTTAGGGGGAGGTCACCGTGTTTTTCTGATGTTTTGTTAAAAATGTTTTGGTTACTTCCCCTACTACTTACAACAATGATGATTTCAGTTTACTTCAAACTCTGTATTTTGTATGGAGAAAATGACAGACTAATTTATTGGTTACAGTGCCTGAACTGTTGGAGGCCAGGTGAAGTAGAGTTTTTGTGAGATCACGGTATATTATGACAGTTATTACGGGGGAGGGGGAGTTAAGAAGGGTGGTTTCTGGTATATGGGGTCACGTTTTTGGGTTGTGAGGTATGGGTTGTGTTTGTGGTGTATGAATGGTGGTTGTGAGGGTTGGGTTGTGTTGAGGGGTGTGGTTTATGTTCCTGGGGAGTGGTTTAGGGGCTATGTTATTGTGTTTATGGGATGTGAGGGTGGGTTGAGCTTAGGCTGTGTGTGGGGTGTGAGGGGTGTGAGGGGTGGGTTGTGTTTAGGCTGTGTGTGGGTTGTGAGGGATGGTCAACTTTAACACATGACCCCACACAACCCCCACACAACCCCACACGACCGCACATGACCCCACACAACCCCACATTACCCCACACGACCCCACACAACCCCATACGACCCCACACAACCCCACACGACCCCACACAACCCCACACGACCGCACATGACCCCACACAACCCCACACAACCCCACACAACCCCACACGACCCCACACAACCCCACACAACCCCACACGACCCCACACAACCCCACACGACCGCACATGACCCCACACGACCCCACATGACCCCACACAACCCCACATGACCCCACACGACCCCACATGACCCCACACAACCCCACATGACCCCACACAACCGCACATGACCCCACACGACCCCACACAACCCCACACAACCCCACACGACCCCACACAACCCCACACGACCGCACATGACCCCACACGACCCCACATGACCCCACACAACCCCACATGACCCCACACAACCCCACACGACCCGACATGACCCCACATTACCCACATTACCCCACACGACCCCACACGACCCCACACAACCCCACACAACCCCACATGACCCCACACAACCCCACATGACCCAACACGACCCCACATGACCCCACACAACCCCACACAACCCCACATGACCCACATGACCCCACACAACCCCACATGACCCCACACAACCCCACACGACCCCACACAACCCCACTCAACCTCCTCCATGACGTTGGCACCAACAGGAAGCGGCTAGACATCCAGACACAATGCACTTAACCGGAAGCAGAGTCCTCAGAAGTTTCCATTTTTATAATTCTCACTCAGATAACTTTGTTTTAAACTAACGCTGGTGTCTGGAAAAGCTGTCACAAGTCAGACTATCGTGTCTAGAAAAAACTGCTTCTTGTCTGGTAAAATAAAACTCCACCCTATGTTTCTTGTGAACAAGATCAAATATTTCTATTCTGTCCTGAAGATCACAGCACACTTCGAAATGAATAGCTTGTACAAGTAATTATGTTGCTATGTGACAACAAAGTGCTTAGAAGGGTAAAAATATCAGTAGGTGTCTAAAGCTAACATAGTCCTTTCTAAATACAAGCCAAATAAGATATTTTTAGATACATTATTCTGAAATTGAGTACTTCTAAAACACCTGTTGAAAGCTTGGTATTAAATTCACTGACTGTAATACTTCATGGAGACACAATATAAATTAATCCGCGTAGCTAATTAATAGAGATATAACCCTAACCCTAATCTTAAACCTAACAAAAGAGCTGCCATTAATTCTTTATTTATTTCTTAGGAAAGTATAATAGAGAAGTAGCTTATTTAAATATTACACAAGGATAGTGTACCAAAACATTGTCTAAATCAATTTTTTAAAGGTGATTGACTGTGTGTATTTCTGTTACTTGACTGAAGTCAAGTAATTGACGCAAAGAAAATACTTTCATTCTCCTCCGTTATTAATTGTAATACTGCAGGGGATTTCCTCCAACACAGTAGAGTGTTACGTGTCAACATGTTATGTTATGCGCCAATTTACAAGCTGATTCCGACTTTTCTTTTTGTTTTTGCCACCATAGAATTGGTCCGCACATGAACCAACTCCGAGGCAGCAGTTGTTTGATGTTGGAGTTTTTTCTCCTAAGAGTCGTTGATGTCTCCAGCTATTTGTTAAAACTCGGTGTTCATAAGACACTATGTGATGGTGACACACTGTGGTGGTGAGACACTGTGGTGGTGACACACTGTGGTGGTGAGACACTGTGGTGGTGAGACACTGTGGTGGTGATACACTGTGGTGGTGAGACACTGTGGTGGTGAGACACTGTGGTGGTGAGACATTGTGGTGGTGAGACACTGTGGTGGTGAGACACTGTGGTGGTGAGACACTGTGGTGGTGACATACTGTAGTCATAAGTAACTATGTGGTGGTAAGACACTGTGGTGGTGAGAGACTGTGGTGGTGAGACACTGTGGTGGTGAAACACTGTGGTGGTGAGACACTGTGGTGTTGACACACTGTGGTGGTGAGACACTGTGGTGGTGAGACACTGTGGTGGTGACACACTGTGGTGGTGACACACTGTGGTGGTGAGACACTGTGGTGGTGAAACACTGTGGTGGTGACGCACTGTGGCGTTGACACACTGTGGTGGTGAGACACTGTGGTGGTGACACACTGTGGTGGTGACACACTGTGTTACCACGACAAGAAACCCATAAAAAACGTCGCCTGCACTGAAGTACGTTGTAAAAATAGCTCCTACCTGACACGGGATAATCCAGATCAGACTTGCGTTACAGATACAGGACAACTCTACTGCAACATGTTTTAATCCAGATCAGAATTGTGTAACAGATACAAGACAACTCTACTGCAACATGATTAAAACGGGTGCTACGGTCACGTGATGATGTGGAATTGACTCATCTTTTGGGAATTAGACCAATCGTCGTGCTCGAGTGATAGGTACCTGCACCAATTTGGTTCGGGAGGGGTGGGGATAATGGAGGTTCATGGCGGACCACAATTTAGTGACAATCTAGCCCCACCCTGTGGCACCACACGTCATCATGGAGGCGACACCCACACACTAGTATACTACCACCACCCATTAGCTCCACCCACCCACCCACCCTCTAGTATACTACCACCACCCATTAGCTCCACCCACTAGTATACTACCACCACCCATTAGCTCCACCCACCCACCCACCCTCTAGTATACTACCACCACCCATTAGCTCCACCCACTAGTATACTTCCACTACCCGTTAGCTCCACCCACCCACCCATTGTTTACTGCATTTTTAAAACTAATTTGAGATTAGCTGACAATCATTAGAGATTGGATTAGTGTATAAAAATAATATTGAAAGAAATTATTGTTAAGTTTCCCAACTGCTGGTACACAATAGACAGGGAGATAGATATATGGAGAGAAGACAAAGACTACAG